GTCACAGTAATCTGCCAGACCTGGATCATATTAAGAGTGAAGCTGAAGTGTATTGTGCTTCCTGCCTGCACTCCTAATGAAATATGTTACAGGAATAGGAAGAAAAGTATCCTGTTAGGAATACAGTGTACAGGACCTCTTCTTTGTTGAGTCTATTTGGAATAATGTCTTTGCTAGAAGCTGATTTACATGGGTAGGGTCAAATCTGAGTGCCCTTCTCTATTTTAGCATAAAAAACTCCTTGGAACTCACTGAGCTTCTTGGGGGTTTCCCATGAGCTGGAAGTCCCTGAGCTACAGTGTTGAACGCTGGGGAAGTATCATTGCCTTCTTGGCTTCCTCTTTCACTCCTGGCTAGGCATCCTCTGTTGGCCACTGTCAGGAGTAGGACTCTGGGCTATAGAGGCACTGTTATAGGTCTGGATTGTTTTCGGGTCCTTAAGGAATAAATATGTCATTGGATGTAGAGTTGTTGGACAGTAGCTTTTCAAGATCAAGAAGGGACGAACTCACCTTAAACTACTAGGAGCGAGACTCTGCCGGCATAGGGAATTAGTTCTTGGGATATCCAGGAAATATTTGATATGTGTAAAATGTTGGGGTGGGGGAGAGTGTGTGTGTGTGTGTCTATTTGGCGTTGTTTGTGATTGTGAAACTTAAATTTCTGTAATGGTCTGCAAAGCATGCTGTACAAACCCTCTACAGATGGACTAGACCTGGCAAAGTCTCTCCATATGTCCATAGTCTCCTGCCTGCTCAGAGACAGTATTATCTAAGGTAGCATGATGTAGCTAGCTCACATTGCCTTATTGGCTCCAGACTAAATCCTGATTTTTTGAATTAGACCCAGCCATTTAAAACTCTTATTATTGAATTTGCAGTCTAGAACTCTTTTTAGCTTTACTATTCCAAATAATTTTTCTTCCTTAACTGAAATTTGCCAAGAAGACTCTGATCTTGAATCAACAGTGAAACTTGGCAAATTGTAGGTGGAGATGGGGGATAGTTCCAGACAGCAGCATTTAAATGATGTGGCAGTAGAGCTGTGAGTTAGACAAGGAAATATCTTTTTCATTCTGGGCTTTAGGGCTACATAAATGGAAAAAGAAACTTAAGAGATCACATGGTACAGGACTGGTATCTGTTTGAGCAGTGCTGCATGCTTATGCCTTCCACCCCTCAAGCAGCATCGCATCAGCGTCGTGCATCATCAGGCAGCAGGAGCAGTGGAGCTGCCTGTTTGACAATCGACAGGAGAAGGTGGTAGGGGGGTTAATCAAGCACCTTGGTGGAGTAACACCTGGTTTTTCTGGACAGGAGATCCAGCTGCAGGAGATACAAAGTGAAAATGCACGACTGGTTGAAGAGAACTCACAGCTAAATGAGAAGGCTGGATGGGCAGGACAGGTAAAAAGCAGTATTTGTGTTTGTCAGATGGAGCATTAGTTTCTGTAAAACTTGGCTGAAAAGAACTTACTAGCATACTAGGTTTCTAGGCTGCCAGTTTAGTAACTGTTGGGTGCCTATCTGTGTACTTGTGTGTCCTGGCTACCAACTGATATCTGCGAGCAGAACAATGAACTGCTCTGTGTTTATTATAGCATTTCCATAGACTCGCGTGAGTTGTTTTGCCCTTACTTGAGTTCATACTTGGTTTGCCTACCTAAAATAACTTGTTAATGAGTTCCTAACCAAAGACAGACAGTGGGTGGGGAGCAACGCACACTGGTCGAGGCACTGGTAGAACAGGACCTGTCATGGAGCAAGTGACACGTTTTGAAAGTGCTCATAGTCACTTCTGGCATTTTACTGTAATCCCCCAAAAGGGGGGTGTTGGCTAATGACGGGGCAGAGCTGAGAGGGCAGGGAAGAAAACCACTCAAGTGCAGTTCAGAACTGCCCTTGCCAGGTGGAAAACCCAAAGGCTTCAGGTCTTGGGACAAAGGATACTTGCACTGTTCTGTACGTGCAAATAAGTATTCATCACATTAAGGACAGATACAAATACATGAACATTTGTTTTGAATGAAAGCCAAAGGGAGAGGAGATTGGTGTTTTTGGTATCATCACAACTAGGAATCAGATCTGCAAAACAGCCTATTGAGACGTGAAAATAAATGGTCCTGTATTATTTATATAACGACTATGGCTACTTGTGCTAATTGGCAAGCCTTTCTTTCCAGGTTGAATCTGAGAATGCTGACCTGAAGTTGCAGGTTGTTTTGGTTACGAAGGAACGGGATTCTGTGATTCAGACGAATCAAGGACTCCAAATCAAGCTGGAGAATCTAGAGCAGGTGCTGAAGGTCAGTAGGACCCCTATGGTTGGAAGGACTGTTTTGACACTTAGTGCTGTTTTGGATGGCACAGGATTGTCTCTTTGCTCTTCTTGTCCAATTTTTGCATCTGTGCTTCCCTTGGGGATTCTTTTGTGCTGGGACCCTGGGACATGGCCTTCCAAGGTGGGCAGACATGCTGGAGAAAGGCCGCTGCAGGGGTTTGGGTGGGAGGGGTAATAAGGTGGCCATCACTGACTGAAGCATTCTATTTGACTGTGTTGCTGTGGTTTGTGGTTGGAATTTCTTACTTTCTCCTCTGTTTAATGGTGATGTGAAGTACAGGCCATGTTTTGATTCTGTGGCCTGCGAGAGAGCACAGGACAACGTTTCAGTAACGTTGCCCTTAAACTGTCTGTGAATTGTTCTGCAGCACATGAGAGATGTGGCTGAGCGAAGGCAGCAGCTGGAAGTTGAGCACAAGGAAGCGCTGCTAGTCCTGAAGGAGAAACAAGAGGAAGTCAGGCGGTTGCAGCAGGTATGCAGCGTGTGAGAAATGGACATTTTACTCTCTGAATCCCTGGAAAGAGATGGGACTCCTGCACCATGTCTCCTTGGAGGGGCGGTGTAGGGAGGAGGTATGTGTGAGTTTACTGGATAAAGTAACCCAGGGAGGCATGTCTTTGTCTAGGGGAACTCTGTTACCTGGGCAAAGTGAGGGGCTTTTCTCGTGATGACAATTCTGATCTCTCACTGCTCTTTGTCCATAGATCAGAGATGCCTTCAGTCTGTCCAGCATTTTAAATCTATAATGGGGTCTGTCAAAGTGATGATAGTAGTAGTAGAAGTGAGCTTAGACAGGCTGCTTTCTTATTTACTCTGTTCCTTATTTCTTCTTAGGCCCAGGCAGAGGCAAAAAGGGAACATGAAGGAGCAGTACAGCTTCTAGAGGTAAGACAAAAGAAAACAAGACAGATAAGGGGCTGCAGATTTGATATCCTCTGTTCTTAATGTCAGTTTTGTTGATGCCCTGGATTTTATTGATTCTTGCTCAGGATGCTGTAAAGTGTAAGGTCTGTCACAAGATAGTGCTGCTGTGCACAAGTATCTGTTGTGCTGGCAGAGTAGTCACTGGGGTTAAAGTTTTCAGAGGTTCAACTCCAGCCTGTTCAGTCCTTGAATTAGGGTACTTTAGGCTGTGCCCAATACCTCTTTCAAGGATGCATATAAGTAACTAACCTCTGATATGCCTGCTGCCTTTTCCAGGATCATCTGCAGGGAGGAAGAATACTTGTGTCCATGTGATTTGATGTTTCTTTTCTGTATATGTGCTCTATGCTATTTATTAATGAAGAAAGGAGAAATGTGGCCTTTGCTTCAACATAACAAGTAAAGAGGTCTGAGGCAGCTCTTTTGTGCTATTTGCTAGTCTGGGACCAGCTGCATGCGTTCTCTCACATCTGTAAAGAATGGGCTTTGCCATGGCGGCAGACAACCTAACAATGCAGGCTGGGAGACATGATGAGCACCATCTTACTTTTGATTTGCACTCTCTCAGTGTATATCAAGATGGCTTTGGAGAAAACCTTGACTGTGAATTCCTGGAGCTGTAGAAGGAAAGCACCAAGCCCTGGAACTTGATATGATAAGGGGAAGCCAGTGCTATGGGTGGGCTTAGGGGTAACAGCACAGGGGGCACCTTCTGCTCTCTCAGCCCACTGATGAGGTTTTTCCTGAGTGCAAAAACACTGTAGGCTAAGCAGGGTGACTCGTTGTACGTTTGGAGGACAATGAGATCACATGTAAATGAGGCCAAGGCGCTGTACGTAACAGTGACATACAGTCACGGATGGCAGACTGAATTGCCTGTGTCCACCACTTTTCAAGAGCTCTGTGGTTGTTAGGAGCCCAGGAGACTCTGCAACAACACTAGAGCAAGATGGTAAGTGTCCTTGATTGAGGAGATTGCTCCGTGGCTGCAAACAGCATCTGCTTTGAGTGGGCCTGACCTGTATCTATCTGGACTGAGATCCCCAGGGTGCCAGGCTCCTACTAGGTGGGATTGAAACTGTTGCAGGCTGGGAGAATATCCTGGGGCAGTGACATTATGTATTGTCTGTTCCCAAGTTCTTTCCTGGGCAGCTGCTTTTGGCTGCAAAGACAGGAGCTGGGCTGGTATGACTGCTTTTCTAATGTCAGTTGTCATTTAGCTGGCTTCTTAGTAACGTTTAAGGGAAGGGAGGTTTGATACTTGGCAAGTGTTTCCTGAATTCATTGCAGGATTGGAGCAGCCTCCTTGGTTTCAACTAGACAGCTACCAGTGTAGAAGAAGAAGAGGACAGTACTTCTATGCTTGAGAGGCTGGTTGTGCTGTTCCATGAGGGCCTCCTCAGTTAAATGTTCTTGTTTCCGTGTTGCTGGGACCGAGATGCTTTATGAGTCAATGACACGAGGAGAACAGAGGAAAGAAAAGTTGTCATTAAAAACTAGTTTAATGTGGGGTGCCAGTCATTTAAAAGACTTAAGTGTAATTGTAACCATTCCAGGGCATCAGTGTAGGCTAGACCTAGGAATTTTGGGACGTCTACACTAAGTGTTCTCATTTTAAATGCGTTTGCATTGCTTTTTTGATATCATCTCAAGGATGAATGGGGTGTGATGCATTTCCCTGTTGGAAGAGTTCAGCCACATGATTGTTGTAAGTGTAGTCTCCATCCTTGGAGATATTCAAAGCCCAACTGGGCAAAGCTCTGAGCAAACCTGCTCTAGCTGGCCCTGTTTTGAGCAGAGTGGTTGGGCTAGACATCTCTAGAGATGCTTTCCAGCATCCATTATTCTGTGATCCTATAGTTAGGATGTCAGGGGGTGAGTAAAGGTATGGGTTGGCTTCTCTGTGAAGAAATGCCATATATAGACTGACTGACCCAGCTTAGAAAGAAGACCTTGAGAGTTGTGGACGTTGGGATGAAGGAATTTAGTAGTGGTTCCCAAGTAAATGAGGACACAAGAGTCTAAACTGCCTTTCATACGTCACAGATGAAAAAGGCAACAGCCTACTTTCAAGGATCCGGTTTAGAATTTTGTTGGGAAAAATGGTAAATAGAGCTCAGCTTAGCTTCGCTTGTCTTTCCTGACCTGGGAGCAGGGTGCATGACTGAGCAGGCTGTTAGCTGCTTGAAATCATGTCACAGGTCGATTTTTGAGCTGTGTCTTGCTTCCCAGTGCTCCTTGGTCTCAGACCAGGGTCTGGGCAGAAAGAGTCAGTTCTGTGGTATTTAAGAGTGGTTGCAATATGCTGGGAAAAGAAGGCTTGAAATTTAGCACTTAAACTTATTTGCTGAAAGCTTATTGAAATTTGGAAGCCCTCAAAAGGTGCATGCTTGTACATGCATATGATTTGTGGGATTTAGCCGGCAGATGCTTGACTTGGGGTGGTAATCTCAGTATGAAACAAGGTAGACACTGTAAGTCAGTGAGAAAACAATCTTGCTCATACTGAGGGGTATGTTATCTTTGGCAGATGGCTGATTTTTCACTAATGTGACTGCTGATGTGGTTTTATATCTCTTTTTGCTCTTTTCCTTGCTGACAGAATACTTTGGATTGCATGCAGGTACTGATATAATCCTATCAAGTAGGACGTGTTTCTCCTCTGCCCTAACAGTTGACAGTTGCTTGATGTATCTGTTTTAACTGTACTCTGCAAAAGATTGCAAGAGTGTCATCCCAAAAAATAAATGTAATAAAAGAAGCTACCACTACAAGTTTGATGGAGCAGCTGCTTTTCTTGTTTAAAAGCTTTGCATTCTCAGTCAATTAAAATTTGGAGCTTTTATTGGGCTTTTCCAGATTTTCGGTTTTATCAAACTCTGCACCTTCTCCTGATGTTACGTACATTTGAAGGTCTTTTGGGAAATACTTTCAACCCGAGATTGAAGTATTTCTTTCAAAAACCAAAAGCAATGATAACATTGTTTCAAATGAAACTGTGATGGAGAAAAAGACAGGTCCTGCTGGCTTTGTAATTGGCTGGAAGGCAGGAAGCAGAGATTATGAGTAACTGTTCTCACAGAAGCACTGAAATACTAATGAAATAATAAAGGTGTTATACTCTGGGAGCTGTGCTAGTCAAGATATTCACAAAAGATTTGGAGTAAGGTTTTATGTCAAAGTTATGGGATTTGCACCTGATGGAAAATTGTTTTTGACAGTCAGCCTCAAATCTGACTGCAAAGAGCAGTGGGAAGATCTTTTGAGTAACTGGGAGATTAAATGACAGATATCACTGACTATCAGAAAGTGGAAAGGCTTGCACGTGGAGGAGAAGCCACAGGCCTGATCAAAAAGGTAAATGTAGCACTCAGAACTCTCAAAAAAGGAATTGGCCACAGCCCAAGGTCATTATTAGGATATGCTCATATCTTATAGAAGTAGAACCCACATCTATGTGCGGTTCTGGATGTTCTTTCCAACCTGATTGAATTTTGGAGTTAGACATGCTTTGAGCAGGAGGTTGGCCTGCAGACCTCCAGAGCCTCCCCTTCTAAACTAATGATTCTCTGATCTCAAAAATGTATAGCAGAAGATACGGAGAAAGGTAACAGGGGAGATCTGGATGGAGAATATCTTCTATGTGAGGAGAAACATGGTAGAGCAGCCAAGAAGGACGGTGTCTGGGAGGACAGGAACGTGCTGGTGTTGATTGGGTCTAGCTTGGTGGGAAAATAAGAGCAAGTTCCTGAATTGAAGGTTAAATTCACACCACCATGCTCTGCTCCCTGCTCTTGCAGCCTATTTTAGCCTATTTTAGCCTATTTAGGCCTTAGCAGCCTATGCTACTCAATTGCAGTTGGTGTGCGACTCCTCTTTCTCCCCATTGCGGGTAAGGCATGGACTCAGCAGTCTCCCTTCTTTCTCATGTCTGCAAATTTGGTTCTTGCTGGTTCCTTGCAGTTTCTGACTATGTCCTCAGGTTCCCCTTCCTGGTCCTCCTGCTTCCTAGCACTGCCCTGGAAACTTGCTGCTTGCCTAGTTGTGTGTGAATCTCTGAGAGTAGTCTGCTAGAACTATATATAGTTTGTGATGTGCCAGAAACAATTAGGAGATGCTTGTGCATTGTTTTGAATAACACAAGATGTAAAAGACACCTGACCATTTAATTAGGTATCTCAGAATTAAACTCTGGATTATCCAGGATATTGGCTTGGCCACCACTATAAATGGATTTAAACTGTTATTAACAAATGTACAGGATGGAGGTTTCTGATGCTATTAAACACAACATCCAGATGCATCTGCTGGCTCTGGTCTCCAGATCACAAGATAGGAGAACCCTCTATGGTCCCTCAGTCATTCTATACCTGTCCCTTGTCAAAGGCTCTGTCCCAAGGTGTGATCAGGGACGAGGTGCTGGTCTAGAGGAAGCCCTGTTTGATCCAGTACAGATGTTCTAATAGTCTGTGGTTTCTTTTTTTTTTTTATTAAGACAAAATGTTTAGGGAGGAGCATTTATGTTAAAAATCTTAATTGAAGTGAATTTAAGCCCTCATAATTGCAGGGAAATCCTATATAACATGACTTCAGTGAGGAGGAAATCCTAAAAAACAAAAGGCAAATAAAAGAATATCACCTGTTGCCATTGGTTACAAAAAAAATCTAAATTAAAAGTGGGTCTCATGGTTTCTTTGCACTCTGGAACGGATAATGCTGTCAGAGCACAAAGATTCATGTTATGTTTTTTACATGTATTAAATCACAGTGCTAGCGTGATAGATCCAGCTATCTGGAGGGTAAAGGAATGATTGTGCTTTTTCTCTCCGTTTCCGGTGTGATGTGGCTAATGGAAGGAACTGGCTCTGAGGAAGTGGAGAATGCAGACATTTCTGGAAGCTGTTATTGGCATCTGATAATCTCTTTCAGTATAGAGACTGTTTCTTCTTGCCAAACTTCATATTGGTGAATAACCTAAATAGTAGTTTTCCCTTAAAGATGGAGCGCTCCTAGTCAGTTGGTAGGAAACAAGTGATAAACTGACATGTTTTAAACACGTGCAATATGATAAAGTAAAATCACATGCACATTCAGAAGTTGGTAGGAAGTGAGCCAGAAAGATTTTGCGTTCCTCTGAGACAAGAAAGAAAGCTTCCTCCAGGTCAGATGTGTTTTAGAGGTGCTTAAGAAACAGACTTTGTCTCACAAAATACTTCAAGACATGATTTAATTTTTGAGGCAGAAGGAGGAGTAGACATTTCAAAAACATTTTATAGAATGGAAGATTTTGAAGAGCACGGTTCAGAGTAATCTATTTTGATGTGTCTTACCTACACAAAATGATTAAATGAGTGAGTAGAAAGCCCGATATGATCTCAACCCAAAGAGAAAAAAGGGAATAGGAAGTGCTTAAATGTCACCTCCTGCAAGGCAGAGCTGCACCTCAGCCAGACGCACTAACGCCGAATTAAATGAGTTAGATTTTCTGCATGAACTCTGTTGAAGAACTACTGATCAGATGAGAAATTCCTGTCCAGCACTAGTGGTTTTTGTTCGATTATTACCTGAAGTGCATGAGCAGGTCCTACACAGCAAATCTGCCTTGGAAGTTAAGAGTGAGCTGTTGTATGGTGGCAAGAGTTGAGAAGATGAAAAGCAGCAGCAGTTTTCTCCTGGGGATGGACGTGCCACAGCTACGAAATATATGGCAGTGTATAGGGATGGCAGAAAGGGTCGCCAGGACTTGGCAATATTTTAGAAGGGGAAGGTCTAGAGATGGTAGAAGAAGAATACAAAGAAATTGAAACAAACGTTTTTTCCCTTCTAGTAGGAATGAGTATTTCCTTCTCTACCGGATGTCCCCAAGACTCCTCTACATCTCTTTGCTGAGAAGTAGCTTTCTTGTACTCACTATGTGCTTTCCTGCAGCAGTTCACTCCTGTAGGACCTGGCTGCAAAGTATTCAGGCTGCTTGCATCACACGCATGTTTTGTGGCACGGTCCAGGGCACTGAAGCTCTCTGCCCTTCCTTGTGCCTGGAGGAGCTGAGGCCCAAAGGGAGAATAGGGAATCCTGCCCAGAAGCATTTGTGGGGAAGCCAGGGTGATGTTGTAGGAGCTTACTGGAACCTCTGGATGGTAGGGCAGATAGAACATTGGGAGGGCAATTCCTTTTGGAGACGTTATATCAATGCCTCAAGAAATGCCCAAAGCCTTCTCAATCTTCCTGTTTTCAAGGCTTGTTTGTCTTTGACACGTCTCACCCTGTCTTGTGCAGGGCTTGGATAGGACGTTTATATTCAAACCCAGCATTTCAGGGATATTCCTGATTCAGGGTTTCCTAATTGAATTTATAGTTGGTCTCCTAAGAGGCGATGAGTCTGGAGTATTCAGAGATTGTATAGGCGTGGAGCTGGCAGCTCCAATTCACTGTTCCTGGACTGGGGACACATTTAGGTCCCTGGAGTCTAAGTGTCACTCAGTTTCTAAAAAGAGGCAGCAAAGACAAATGCTGTTTGGAGGCCTGTTGGTGGTTTAGATATGTGCTTGTACTTCACCTTGCGTCTTTCCCTTCAGGCTCGGGTGAAGGACCTGGAAGACCAGTGCCGCAGTCAAACAGAGCAGTTCAGCCTCCTGTCCGAGGAACTCAAACAGTTTCGGCTTCAAACAGGAAAAATTGACCTCCTTACCTCTACGCTGGTGACTTCTGAGCCTCCTCTCACTCTGTGCAGCTCTACCCCACAGCCCCGCTGGGAGAAGGGTAATTGCTAGTCTTACCTGCAGGTGTTTTGACAAGCATGTCGTTATTGGTGTAAATGGAAAGGTATAAAGAAAATAATGGAAATGTTTATTTAGCTTTTGGGATCTCTCTCTGGCTTTCTCTGTCTCTCTCATAAATACCTTTTCTTTGTTTTGTAGTCATCAAAGAGAACTCAGCACTTCTCTGACCAAAGGGAGCCCAGGGTATATAGTCTGTTGCACTGTTAAATGAATCACATTTTTAGAGACTTGAGCTGCTTTAAAGGCACTTTGGTACTCGCTGCTGGTCTTGTATTCTCCCTGTACCTAAAAGCAACAGATTATTTTATTGCAGATTCCACTGTTGTCCCTGCGTTGCTGGCTCACCAGGACACAAAGAAGATTCACAATGAAGACGGTGAGCTGGAAATATTACAGCGGATGCCTGATGCCACTGTTGGCTCCCCAGTTGCTGCTGCTAGCTCTCAGAAACAAGCCAAGAAGATGGAATCTCAGTCAAACTCTTCAAAATCAGAATCCATGCAGAGCAGTCAAAAATCCTGCCCGACTCCGGAGGTCAGTATGGGAGACCTCTCTGGGGTCTCTCCTTCCTAGCCAAGTGAGAATAAATGCACTGCTGAGAGAACTGTATTTCCTGGGTATTACATTCCTTCGCTCCTGGCTGCCTTAAAGAAACACTTGTGAAACATGAAAAAATCTGCATGAAAAATTGAAAAGGCTTTGGATGCCTATGTCCATAATTCTAATTAGTACAAATTGCTGTGCTCCACGAAGAAAGCAGCTGGCTATACAGCGTGCTATAAAACATACTGTAGTGACCATGGAGGTGGGAAAAGTGGGGAGTCGGTTGATGGTAGTTTGGGAAAGCTCTGGCTAAGGTTCCTTGTGACATCTCAGCCTCAGTTGACCACATAAATGCTACAAACTGTTAATTTTAGCATTGTGAAGGCCTACCCAGACTATTTTTGGCCCCAAGCTATGGGTAAGGTTTTTGATGCTCTTAAGTGTAGAAGTCTTACGTGGTGTAAGAAATCAGGAAAGGATGCTGAGTTTGCACGAGCAGAGGGATGAAGTTAATAGGCTTTGGTTGTCTTTCTCACCCAGATATCACGGAGATTGTTACTTCTCCACAGGAGGTCATACATGTAGTATTGTGCAGTTCATTTAAGCAGTCTTTCATACTCACTGCTACCTATTACTTGATATGATAATTTAAGGGAAGACAGTGCTGTGAGCGAGGATAGGTGTGATGGCAGGGGCTGCAGCTTTTGCTGTCTTGGTCCACTGATTTCTGAGTGCTAATGTGGCTGAGGCCATGCAGAGTGCCTCGCTGTACACCTCGAGGGTGGTAAGGTCTTGTGCTAGTGAGGCCAGAGCACTAATGGAGAGATACAGTCATAGCAGGCAGTGCCCACCACTGTGGAAGAGCTCTGTGGTTGTTAGGAGATAAGGGGAACCTGTCATGTTCAGTGACAAAGTGAAGGCCACACCTGGAAAGGAAGAAATACCTAACTATAAATTATGTAGTGGGAGAAATGACAGTTGCTTGCAGAACCCAGGAAAAAGAATCACAGAATCGTTGAGGTTGGAAGGGACCTCTGGAGATCATCTAGTCCAACCTCCCTCCTCAAGCAGGATCCTCTAGAGCATATTGCCCAGGCAGGTTTTGAATATCTCCAGTGAAGGAGACTCCACTACCTCTCTGGGCAACCTCTTCCAGTGCTCTGTCACCCTCACAGTCAAGAATTGTTTTTCCTCATGTTCAAATAGAACTTCCTGTGGTTCAGTTTGTGCCCGTTGCCTCTTGTCCTGTTGCTGGGCACCACGGAGAAGAGTCTGGCCTCATCCTCTTGACCCCCTCCTTTCAGATACTTGTACACATTGATGAGATCGCCTCTGAATCTTCTCTTCTCCAGGCTGAACAGGCCCAGCAATCTCCGCCTTTCCTCATAGGAGAGATGCTCCAGTCCCCTCATCATCTTTGTAGCCCTCTGCTGCACTCTCTCCGGTAGTGCCATGTCTCTCTTGT